CTGACCTGGAAACAGGATGTGACCACACCACACACTTCACCATCACACCCTGTGTCCCGCCAGCACCCCCAGCATGTGCTCTGTGGGGCACAAGGACAAGGACAAAGGTGTCTGAGTCTCTTTTAGTGGAATAATCTGCCCAGTGGATGCTCCAGGCAGGTTGTGTCCCACTCAGGACCCTCTGGCTTTACAGGTGCCAGCTGGAAGGCACTTACTTCCAATTTATTTATCCCTAAGTTCCTAATTTATCTCTGGAGGCTGCAGGTCCTTCCTGCTGGCTGTGAATTGCTTTGTTCTAGAAAGACACCTGCAGGAACTTCACTCAGAGAATGGCACAGCTGATCCTACTATATTTTTGGGGCAAGTTAAGCAGCAGCTGCAGCGTTCCAGTAGGACAGGGCACTGAATTTTCATGGAGGAAACATCTCCAACAATGCAACAAGTTTCAATTGCAATAACTGGAGCTCTTGGAAGGTTCTAGGAAAAACAGACCAGAAAACACAGTCACCTTCTCGTTGACAAGGGCTCAAAGGTGATCTTTGGCTGGACACATTATGTGTCTCCCAAGATGCTCCACCATCCCTGAAACACTCTGTCCTCAGCTGCAGGTTGATCTGCTCACAAGACACAGCTTGGGAGTATCCCATTCCTTGACCTGTGCCACCCCTTGGCAAGGCAATCCTTTCTGGATGCATGGAATGGAGCTGAATCCAATTCCCATGTTTGTGTTTGCTCAGAGAAGCCTAACACAGCTGTGGAGGAGCAGAGAACAGAGTATGTGCTCATCTAGAAAGGCTTTTTGCAGAAAGGACTCTGCATTGCCACCTTTCCACCTGGAACAGACTTGTCCTGTTTGATTATAGCCTTCCTGTTTAGATTATATCCCTGTCCACCCCTGGAGGTGCTCAGGCCAGGTTGGACAGGGTTTGGAGCAACATGGTTTAGTGGAAGGTGTCCTAGCCCATGGCATGGAGATGGAACTAGATGAGCTTCAAGGTCTTTTCAAGCCAAACCATTCCATGATTTGATGATTCTCTGTGTCTGGACTGCTTGAAAAGGAAGAAGTTTGAAGATTGGTCCATTAAACTGAAGCTAAATCTTCTTGCTTGAGCAAAGACCTGCACAAGTATTTAACACAAGCTCATATTAAGTATCAGAAGTGCTTTCAAACCCTTAAGCAGGTTTTCCTTTTCCCAGAGTGTGTCC